TCATCTATTGTTCCACGAACTTCTTCTCTTCCAAGGCTCGGGCATGAAATTAGGTGGCACGGTTGAGGAGTCTTGCTAAGTTTGGGAATCCTATAGCTTTGTTCTTGGTCAAGACCTTTCCTGGCTATTTCAAGTAAAGACATTAAATGATCTAGCTTTGTTGACGAGAAAGTTGGGGCCAAGTTCAGGTCAAAATGTGGTTTTGGATTGCTGGGGTGTTGGTTCCCATAATGATTTGTCCCCCAAGGATGGCTCCTCACAAGGTTGCTACAAGGGCTGGCTTGATTAATGTGGTGGAAAGGGTACCTAGAAGGATTGGGTGGCACTCGCTCTCCCCGATGATGGTGGTAGTGGAAGTGGCTGTGGCTAGAGATGGCCTTGGGTCTTCCAGGAGTCTTCTATATTGGTTGCTTGTTGTGCTAGTGCAGGAATGGTGTTGGTGGAGACTTTTTCTTGGTGATGACTTTCCAACCTGTTACAATGCAGCTATGAGATACTGGAGTGGGGGTTTTCTTTGTTGGCATGGTGCTGGCTTGGTGGGTGTTTGCTTCTTGGTACCAATGCAAGGTCAAGGGTTGCTTCCCAAGTACCTTGAGTGTTGCTGTCACTACAATCATGCAAGGGGAACACTCGTCTAAGATGAGTAGACTGTCGATGTGCGGCATGAGTGTTGCTTCCGCCTGCGTGAGAAACACCATTCCAAGTTGAGCCATGCCTTCTACTTCCTTGGCCCAAGTTGGCAGCCATGATCCACCCTATTTGTTTAGTGGTGGTCAAGCCAAGTCGTTGTGCCTCAACAAGTGAGATAAAGTTGTGAGTGCCCTTTGTATCCAGTAGGGCTTGAACCGGCCTTTCGTCGAGGGTGATATCCACATATTTTAGCCCCTTGTGGGCTTTGCTAGGCCATTTAGAAGTGATCTCTTTCTTGACTATTGCATTTAAGAGTTGGAGAGTGCCTAGTCTTGGCACTTGTGTAAGTTTCTCCTCATCGCTTTCTTTATTGTCACTGAGTTTGGCAATAAGGGCATTGACCTTCTTTCGCATGGGACAGTCGCTTGTCAATGCATTTCATTGTAGATGAATCAAGGTGTTGGAGGTGTGGTGGATCTCTTAGTGTACTTATAGCCCTAGGAGTTGCTAGCTTCTTGTGGCTTCTTTCCTTGTTGTGGGTAGATTGACCTGTTGGGATATCGCTGCTTTTCTCTAGTGGAAGTTGACCGTAGGTCTCTCCCATGGCAGTTGTTAGCCATTGCTATAAAATATGGTCATCAGACACAACCATGGTAGTTGTTAGCCATATTCTTTGTCGGGCTTCTTTAAATCAACAAGTTGCTCTGTCATAACTATGGCAGTTGCTAGGTCATCCACTCCTCGCCGTTGTAGCTCCAGCTCGGCCCATGGTTCAAAACCATCCATGAAGTTGAACAAGAGATCCTTGTTAGACATATCAGAGATCTCAAGTGTCAAGGTCGATAATTCTTGAACATAATCATGTAGTGATTCTTTTTGCTTTAGGTTCTTCATCTTCCTCCGTACAAGGTACTCAACATTCTCAGGGTAAAATGAGCGCGTGATCTCTTGTTTGAAGTCAGCCAAGGTATTGATGGTGCATGTGTCATAGTCAATGTCCTGACAATACCTACACCACCATAACATGACAATATCATTTAAATACATAGCAGTCATACGTACTTGAATTTGATCATCATAAATGTCAGTGGCAAAGAAATATTGTTCAAGTTTTCACAAGACGTTGTTGAGCTCACAAGCTTCCTGAGCACCCAAATATGGTGTCAGTTGCCGTATGTTGATGGGTATTTGGGTCATAGTAGATGAGGCACAAGAAGAGTTGGCTATTGCCCTTTTTAGGAGTGTCACCTCATCCCTCATCCCTCATCCATCCAGTTGTGCTTGGAACTGGTCCTTCAAGCCTTGAAGGCTGCTTTGGGATGGCCCTTCTTTTGAGTGTTGCAATGTGCCATGGATCTCCCTAAAGGCTCCATTGAATCGTCCTTCTAATTCCACCACCGCATTCTCCACTGTCTCCGTGTTGAGGTGGAGTTAATCAACCTTATCTCGGGCCTCACTTACTGTTGCTTTACAACGTAGGATACGCATGTCCATGCTTGCTAATTGATCCACGGATTTGTCCCACTTGCTTGTTTTGGTTGTGCGGTCCTTTGGGGCTTGATTTTTGGTAGGTTTCTCGATGGGTGCCTCATCAGTGTTGTGGGCTTGATCTAGCCCATGTAGTATGTCATTGACGATGTCGCAATTGCTTTTCATTGTTTGTGCTAAATGTGGGTCAGTCGATATGGTCCAATGTGTGTGGAGGAGCTCTTGCTCCGATATTAACTATCACGATGCTAGTCGTTGGGTCCCTATGCGGCACTCAGTGCGTGTCGAATAAGCCTATGAAATAAAGAAATAGCACAGCAAAGGCAATACAGATGCATGCGAATTAGAAAAAAAACACTTTTGTATTGCAATAGAGATAATAAGCACAAGCACACAAGTTTGTGTCAAGGGGACCTCGTGCTTAACCTTTACACGGTTTTGGCACTACTCACGTACCTATCTCTCCTCAAAAGAGTAGCTTAAGTTTTTTGTGGTCTGACAAAATATTACATCGAAATATTAAAAAGTCATACTGCATAATTACAATAATATTATGGATATTTTCCACGTACTAAACACATGTATAATCCCACCCAACTTGATGGTGCTCTAATGGCATGTCACTAGCATGGTAAAGGCACTTGATGGTACGAAAAAAGTGGTCACTCATCAAAAGTTGTATAATATTTCCTTTCTACAACTCTATCAACTGTAATATTTACTGTCGATGATCGTGAGTTCCACCGTTGGCCTCAGGAGCCATGATACTAAAATTCATGCAAAACTGTGATGGATCAACTCACAAGGAACGGAGTACGAAGATATTCCCGATCTCGAGTCGGTGGGAAGGGAGAGCAACGTGATTCCCTCGATCCGTCCTGCCTGTCTTACGGCGTTGTAGGAGTACGAAGATATTCCATGCAAAACTGTGATGGATCAACTCACAAGGAACGGAATACGAAGATATTCCCAATGCCGTTGAAATGGATGTTACAATCCGATCTCGAGTCGGTGGGAAGGGAGAGCAACGTGATTCCCTCGATCCCTCCTGCCTGTTCTACGGCGTTGTAGGAGTAGAGTTTGACACCATTGTTGACCAATGAAGAAGTCGTTTTATCTCGAATCTTGCAGCAGAGTCCTCTTCTAATTACCAAACTTCGAGGCCTTTTCAACTCAAGTCAAAACTCAAAAGCGAGAACCGAGAAGCTTGCGTTGCAACAGCCGATGCTTAACAATTGTAAGATCCCCGTCATCCTCGCTTCTCGATACTGTCAATGAAGAAAATGTACCCAGTCAAAAACAAGATCATGTTCTAATTACTTGTACTAGTGTACACTTCGAATCGCTAATGGCAGGGCAGCAAAATTAAGGTTGGGCTTGGTTTGTCCCGTCAAGGAATCACAAACCAACGATTCCATGGAGTCATCTAGCAAATAAGGGTCAGACTTATCATTAGAAAATGTATGTGGACTGTGTTTGGGAAAGTATATTTTCCCTACCTCAAACCAAATACAGCCTGAGATTATTGATTTTAATTTCTTTTTAGTTTTAATAATACGTACCCATAACTCTCCCATGCATTATTAGTTGGGCCTACTTAATCTCAAGCCCTAAGGTCCAGTAGATAATGGGTTTGTGTCTTGTGTTTGATGGTTACAAGATATATACCTGTATTGATGGTTATAAGCAGGAGATGAACATTGAAAAACCCATATTTCTGTCCCCAACATAGTTATACTCCTTAATATAACTATATATACATGTGTTCAAATAAGCCTTTATATTAAGATTAAAAGTTTGAAGATGCAGTATCATTAATAATCGGGGAAACCACCAATAGATGGTAGTGGGATATAAATTTGTATTGGCAATTATCTACCTATGCTGCAGAAATTTAGGGTACATGGGCAATGTAGAATTTGGATTATTTCTTCATAGAGCGCTCCTCATAGCACATCTTATTGTGTAATTAAGAATATCTCCCCATTAATAATAAATAGTAGATGTTTCCAATATGCAACTGAAACATGCTGTAGGTTGGGGTGAGGAGCAGATTCAGACTCGACAATGTGGTGAGTGAAACTCCCTCTACTTGAACCACAATTAGGAATCCCGATTACAAAACCCATTTTATTTCTTTAAAAATATGAACAGTACAATTACAATTAATTGTGTATTTGTGTTATAATGAGGAAAAAATGTACAATTACAATTACAATTTGTCAATTTGTACAATTACAATTGTGTATTTGTGTTATACTGGTATATGAACAGTACAGTTACAATGAATTGCCCATATATGTTCTCTTCAAAGAAAAAAATGTACAAAACGAAGTGTCAGTATCCTTCAAGTTTTTAATTTGTCAATAGTCAGTGCCCTCTGCTGGCTCTTCCTAACCCAATATTTTTGTTTTGAAAACAAAGGGGATTCTTTCAAGCCTGTACCTTCATATTTTTTTTACTAGCTAGCTAGAGGGTTCCGGCGTGTGGGAGAGGACCATTTGACAACAAGTGAAACCAGGGGGTTGGTATATTTTACCAAGTAATTAAAGAGGGAAAAAATAAAGAGTATGTGGAATTGCGCTCCTCAACTTTGGAGTGCAAAATGGTGAAGCATTTAAAGAGGCGCAGTCTTCTAAGTCTCACGTCTGGTCGAGTTTCACTAAAGGGCACCCCTACCAAAAGCTTTACAATTTTAAATTGATCGGCTTTAGAATTTTGTATCAGGGAATTTTTGAACTGCATGTACATCTTTGTTTTTGCACTGCAAACAAACGCAACCTTAAAAAAATTATAACCATGTTTCTTTCTCTTCTTCGTCCTGTATACGTGTAGAGAATGAAAAGCTCCATTTATCACACTTGGAAGTTGGAAGACCCTTCTTATATATATATATATATATATTTCACGACAATCTGATTACAGTGAACATATAGAGAAGGACTGAAAAATAACTCTCCACATCTCTCTGTCTCTTTTCCCCTGTTACAACAATACCACTAACTAGCCTAGACATCATTGACTAAACAAAACAAAGGAGAAGACATTTATGGGCGGGTGATAAACTCACCACCTCAGCCAAATCTAGCTGATCACAATGATCCAACAGATCAAACTCTTCCCTAAATTTAGTGGAGGTCCCCGTATATACAACAGAGACCTTTTCACACCAACCCTTAGTTGTGTGTGAATACATTGCCACTGAAACCCATCAAACAACCACAGTCAAAAAAAAAAAAGAGAGAGAGAAATCATTCAGGGCCATTTCAAAAAAAGGCCCAGCCCTGATACTGATATCATCATCATCATGTTACACTACTAAAAACCACTATATATTCTATATACCACATATTATATTTATAATTGGTTAGAGATAGAGAGGCTGAGGGAGGCTCGCTAAATTTGGAGGTGTTTTTGGTTAGTTTTGGAGAAGAACAGTACAGAGGAACTTAAAACTGTCCACCGCTGTAGGTTTGGCCGAAAGCCCAGTTGGCAGGGGCTACATTGTTGGAGACTACAGTACGTCCATCGCTTGTTGTGACCTTGAATGAGAGAGCTTGACCGTTGAGGTAGGAGTTGCTCTGCCAGTTTTGGCCCCAGTTCCGGGACATGGCTTGCCATCCTGTTCTAGAGCCCTTGATGGAGACGGCGACAACATCACCAGCTCCACCAACGTTCGTGATAAGCACAAGATTGAAGTAAGAGTGACCGTTGATGGTGAATCTTATCCCACCAGTCTTCCTGCAAGCAACCCTGCAGGAAAGGGGCACAAAGATCAGGGGAAAACAGAATTAATTAACACTAAAATACCCTTCTGTAGGAAGGGTTAAAGGGATCCCTTCTTCTGGATTTTTTTTTTTTTGCTTCGGAAGTAAATGAAGGTAAGAAGAGGGTGAAGAGTTCCTGTTCCTTCAATTTCTTTTTGTTTTTAAAATGGACATTGAAGCAATTGGCAATCTAAGTTGAGGATATGAATGGTTTGAGTTTTTGCTTAATTCTATGAAATCTTTTTTTCTTCTTTTCTTTTTTTTTTTGGAGGTAATTGGGAGTTCTATGAAATCTGGGAGCTACACACTACACAGAGAGGAAACAGGGTCTCTACTTAGTACTGTGGGAAGTTGAGAGGAGGACTGAATTTTATTCTTTATCAGTTGACAAGACTTGAAAAAATTGCTTTTCCTTTTCAGGGTTGAAATTCTCACTAATGGTTAAACAGCCTAATATTCAATAGAAGGCAATCTTTTAATTAAATTTCTAAGAAGTTTTTACTTTTAAAGGAATGAAAAAAAAAAGAAGAAGAAGAAAACAAAGGGTATTGAAAGAAGACAAAAAAGAATCAAGCCTTTCAATACCTTCTGTACTGAACAGGGACTATCCCTGCTTTGTACTGAGCTATGTGTTGGAAAACAGGCTGAGAAAGATCAAAGTGCTGTAGGGGAGGGTTGCACCACCCTCCTGCATTATTTGGAAGAGCATTGTTTGGTGGGCAAAAATTGGTTGCAGTGACTATGATGGATCCAGGTAAACACCATCTGGGGTCATTTACACATTTTATCTCGTAACAAGCTCCACAGCTCAACCCATTGTTGAATAAAGCAGTACTCAGTGCAGCTGTATTCGTTCCATAACCTTGACTGTATAGATTTCCATACCCACAAGCTCCACCTACAACATCCAAAAAGGTGAAATGAGACGATGAAAAATGCCAAAAAAAAAAGGCAGATTTGCGCGAAACAAAGGATACTGGGTGTATATTCTTACCCATTGTACCGGAAGCATCACCACCTCCATAGAAAGTAACGTGAGCATCAGTCCACCCACTTCCATAGCCATGAACTGTCTTCAACGTGGCCAGAAGGACTATTAGGGAAAGACGAAGGAAGGCCATTTCCTGCAAAAGAAAAGGAAACAAAGGAAACCTATATCAGATTTCTTCGAGTTTCTTAGAGGGAATTAGTCGCTAAGAAAAAGGGAGAAGGGGGGAGAGACTTGCACAAACTGACAAAAGAAATGTGGCTTTGGCTTATATGGAAGTCTAAGAGAGAGTACCCAAGTTTCACAAGAAATGTGAAGATGAACCAAGGAGAGAAGGTGAAGAAGATGTGAGGGATTGAAGGTGTATTTATAGATGAGGAGGGAGGAAGTCGGAGATGCAGAAAAAGCTTTAATTGTATAAATAATTTTCGATAAATATAAAAAGCGGAGGATGGTATCCTAACAAACTAACTGTTAAAAAGAGTCAACTGCAAGCAACCTCAAGCCCTATTGATCAAAGCGTGTAACATGTAGAACTGTAGAAGACTTTGACCTATTTGGTTATTTCCAAAACCAAGATGCCTTGGGAATGAGGTGCCTGGAGTGAGTGGTCTAGTAAAAGTAAATAAAAACTGCCGAGGAAAGGAGAGGAGGTACTCATAATGATCCCATGTACATTGAGGACTATGATTGATGCGCCCTTAACAAGTAATTGACCTAGAATCTAGATAGACTCAAACAAGTGGGCCAACTCTCGAGTCTTGCCTAGTAAATTATGAAAATGCCAGATGGGGTCATAACTGAAGCTAAATTTTGATTGGAAAATAAAGATTTATATATCAAATATTAATAGATGATAAGAATTAAAATATTAGATTCCTCCCCCCCGCCCCCCAAAAAAAAGAATAAAATAAAATCAATTTGATTATGTGTTGGTGTTATAGGGAGCATCATAAATTGGTGCATCATGGAAGCATAATGTATTTTCTTAGAAAAATGAAAGAGTTTTAAGCTTTGCATACTAAATTCAGAGATTCTTATCCAAAATATAAATATGGATACTGGAATACAGTTCTCTTGGGCCCTACTCCTACGTGGAAAAAACTTCAAGCACTAAAAAGGCATTATTGGAGGTGGAAACCACCAAGTTTAGAACAGATGGGGACACGGCAACTTTAGCATTCCTAGTCCGCTATTTTTGGATTCTCTTTCTCAAAAGAAAGAAAAAAAGGGGTGCACGAGGATTCTAACTTTCTAAGCTTTTAATTTTTCTATCAACTTATCTTTAAGAGATGTATAACTTTCTGCTGAAACTCAGAATCCCCCAATTATTAAAGATACCTGGCCACTGTCTGAGTATACTTGACTAAGCTTGTGCATTCATTAAGAAGAGAGAATCATAGTTCAGAAGTTGGGAGTAATAAAGAATCTTCTGTTCAAGGATTTCTTTTACAGTTCCTTTACATCTGCTGCAAGTTTAATTAATATGCATCAGATGCCCCAAGTAGGCACATGGGGTGATGGGGTTCTTCATTTGACTTCCTCAGTCATAACATATAATACTGAAATAATAAGAACCCAAATTTCTTTAAAGCAAAAAAAATAGAGAAATTTAAAAAGAAAGCTCCTCCACCTCAAATTCAGGAACTAATATCTCATCAAAATGCTCTGCACGTGGCAAACCGTCCAGTTTGAGAAGAGTAAATGATAATCTTATCCTCCCTTTCTCAATGCTTTTTTAATTCACTTCTCTCTTTTTGAGCAGTCTTAGCTGTACCCATCTCACCATCTACAATCTTGGTGTGCAGCCCAATAAAATACACAGGGATTCTCTTCTTTACAGCTTAACAAACCAATACAAATTAAAAAAAGAACCAGAGATCATAAATATGTGTACCCAAAGTTTCAATTATATCTTACATTAGACAATTGAGCTAGCAGTTGTCAAATTAAACATGCATGCGTGGTTAATTAATTACGTACAGCTATCAACTAATAATAAGTGATTAAGTGGAAGAACCTAATTAATTAATTTTTACACACACAAACATATACATGGAGTATGTATGTGTATCAAAATTACTAACATGGGCATGCATAATTTAATTAGTTTAATTAGTTGTCAATGAGGCCACAAGTCTATTTGTATTAGGAAGTGTGATGTAACATTTAGGCACGTAGAGTCATGCCATCACTTATTAATTAACTTCATCATCAGTTATTCTTGTATCTCCCCACTGCTTCCATGTTGAGACTTGAGAGTGATCTGATCTCACACTTTTCCCCATGCAGACTTTTGACTTACTTTCACCTACCATTACTTTTAAGCAATGTATTAAAATAGATATAAACAGGAGCACTTTTTCTTCACTTGTCTTCATCATTAGGAATTGGGAGGCTAAATAAAGAAAGATGATCACCTAACTGCCATATTCTTTTAATTTTTAGCCATATTTTAACTCCTGATTATTTTTTTAGTTAATAAGCAGTGCCTGAACAAGATATTATTTATGATGTCAATTTGGAAAAAAAATTTATACTCCCATTTGTGCCTAATTTTACTCATGTTGGTTAACAGCACAATATATGAGAATGTAAGATTTTTCTTCTTTTTCTTGCTTTATTTTTCCATTGAAAATTTTGGAACATATAGAATGCATTACTTGGCGTAGCTGCCAAAGCTAACCGGTTCATACTAAATGATTGGGAGTAATATACAATGTAGATGGTTGTTAGACAAGCAGTTGGACGTATGAAAGTGTTGAATTAATCTAAGGAATTTAGTATTTGGTACTTCATTAATTAGTTTTCAAAAACTAGTTAGGTAGTAGAAACGTAGAATCTTATCTTAAGGGTATAATCCTCTACTTACCAACAAAGAAGACTATGGAAGTTGTTGTTAAGTGTATAAAAGAAAAGACAAGTTGATACCACACAAGAGAAGTCTGTTTTCCAAAGATGTATATATATATATATATATATATATATATATATATTAGTTAAATATCATAAAAATAAAAGAACGATGGAACTTTTGGAGAGTAAAATTATTCAATAGAAGAGAACTTTTGGAGAGTAAAATCAGAAGGTGCACATGGGATCACATGGCCACTAGCTAGCAAAGCCTAGAATGGGTTGAAAAGGAAAGCCTATATCTCATAAACTTTTTAGATCTCTCTATCTATATATCTACTACATAAAATCATTCCCATGAAGATGAAGGGCAGCTTTCTTAGGATTTGGACATTAAATTTGCAAAATATATGAGATGAGATTTGAGAATGAGTGAGACCCAAAAGCCAAAAGGGAACTAATAACTCTACAACCATATATGGATAAGTGTGGAGTGGAGTCCAGCATAACACGCTTTACATTGCACAAGTGCCCACTTGTCTAAACCGGGAGACGCCCATGGACATGGAGAGAGCTCCAGCCTCCAGCCAACTAGGCCCCCTCCCCTCCAACTCTTCAAGGCTGAAGGACACCCCAGCCCTGTGCAGCCCATGGTCAAAATCCTGCTGGGTGGGGAGCCATCGATACATCAACATCGACAATTACAGCCACAGCTAATTAGCTACGTACAATACACATCAAGTGGCCCTCTGTTTCGATTCGGGATCTGCTACCTACAAGTTGTATCCACATCCATACCCACCACCATGTATTCGGAACAATATGGGTAAAGATGGGTAAAGATGTGGGAACATCTTGTGGGTAAAGATATTTCCAATGCACAATATGGGTAAAGATGTGGGAACATCTTGTGGGTAGCAGATCCGAGTTCATCTGCTTCTGATCTAAATTCAAGATGGCCTGCAGCCCGCAAAAGGATCGCTATTTGCTATAGGCTATATGTTGTAATAATACTAAAGAGAGCAAATGGAATTTCGGTATTCGCTTTCCAAACCAAAATTGCGGTGATGTAAAGTTGCAGAAACTCGAAACTGGGAATTGCAGGAAGATGGAGGGCTGAGCCGTGCCACTTGTTCACTCTCCTTAAAACCATATTTGCCCCCTATGATGCAGCCGGGTGATCGAAAATCAGTCGTCAAGATAAAACTGCCCACAGGCCACTAGTAGGTGTGCACTCGCTTACCAGACCTCCGTGAACCACTGAATATTGATACTCAGATTTTTCAGAGAAAAACAAGAATGTCGAAAAATGGTGTGTGTAAACTAGGTTGACCATCACCCTTTTATAGATTGGTCTCAGACCCGAATGGACACATATGTGTCCTTTCAAACATGAGCCTCTTCAAAACAGTGCACCTGTTCGAAATGGCACAACGAGGAAGAAGAGACGAAAAAAAATAATTTATTTAAAAATTAAATTTGAATTTGAATAGACACGTTTTAAAATTGAAAATGTGTAATTCGGATAAAACAAAATGATTCAGTGCATCGCACACCCGCACCCACGCCCACGCCTCAACCCGGCTTGGCTCGGCTCGCACATGTGAAAAGCACCCCCAACCCCCCCTCACATGCATGGAATATCTGTAGTCCTCTCATCCTATGGGTCCCTACCCATAGAGGAAGCAAAACTACAAATGTACTCCACTTCCACTCCTTTCCCAAGCAATGTGGGACAAGGAGCCATTCAAGGGAGGAAATGACAAAACACAAGAGAGGGAGGAGAGAGATTCTTGTAAATTTGAATCTCCCTCCAATAATCCCCCACAAGATTCAAAGTTACAGGAAGATCGAACAATTTGAGCATCGCAGTAAGAAAAGTATTCATGGTGATGTCTTTTGGACTTTAATCAACACTTAGGTATGACAGGCTATGTTACAGAGCACGGTTGGAGTCAGACTCCATCAACCTTTCCTCCTTATCGTAACTAGCTAACCGGCCAACCAACTCAACTCACTAGTTCTTTAGTAGTTCTTTTGTTTTGGAACATTTCGGCCTTATTCCCCTCTTGGAATCATGAGTGTTTTCGAGAGTCAGTCCTAGATCTCTCTTAGAAGCGGCCACACTTCACACTCACTTAGGTCAGTTATTAGTGTGCACTGCTCACACTATTCCTAACTGATTAAGAGCCTCATCCTCAACCTCCTCAATCTGTAGTGAGCACTATCTTACCCCAGCATCTGAAATGAGACACAAATGATAGTGCTTTCCCAAGTCATCTAGTGACTCATTTTTACCCATTCAACTTAATTCTAAGGATCTCATTTCACATAGGTTGGGTGTCCATCACTAATGACTTTGTAACGGGCTTCAACCCCATTCCTACCGATGCCTCATAAACCACCTTAGAAGTTTATGGTTTGGTTAACGAATCTACAAGGTTCTTTTCAAACCTTACAAAATCTAGAGTGATTGTACCTTTGCTGAGAT